CCGCCGCTCGGAGCCACAGACTGGAAGCCCGCCCGGGCCGCCATCTTCCCGGAGCCGCCGCCGCAGCTGCACAAAGAACCGGAACCGGAACTCCCCCCGCCCCCCGCGCGCCCCCCGCGCGCCCGCCTAGCAGTCCGCTCGGCCGGCCGGCCGGCACGGGAGACTCAGGGCAGCGAGACTGTGGGCTAGAGGGGGGCGGCTAGCGGAAAAGGCGTGCTGACCACTCCCTCCCGCCTTCGCGGTCCGGGAGGGAAAACCATAGAGAAGAGGTCTGGGATAGAAAGGCCCGGTGAACGGGCGCCCCCAGGCCTACGGGAGGACTACAAGGACCTGGAAAGGGTGACCACAGCCCCAGTCCCAACCCTGACTTCAGCACTTTGATAAGAGGACTTCGGAGTAACTGCTTCATTTTGGCGCGGTGTATTTAACTTTCCAAAGCTTCGATTGCTTTTCGTTTCATTCTCTTGCTGCTATAACCCCGGGGAGGCTGAAGAGGAGACCGCATTATTTCATTTTATAAATGGGAAAACTGAACTCAAAGAAGGTAAATGACTTGGCAAAGGTCAACCAGCAAAGTAGCAGTAAAGCTAAATCCTAGTATCCAGATTTCCTTGCTCATAGCCCCGGACTCATTCCACAGATAAAGGGACTCAATAACTACCTCGCGCGGGAACTTCGACACCTTTGTCTCTGACATTTAACCTAACCTGCTTCCACATTTTAAGTTCCATTTTATCTTGAATTTTGACCCTACCCCCTCTCCAAAGAATCCTTTGTGTTGGGATTCTGTTTGGGCTCTTTGTTGCCTTTGACCCCTCCCTCTTTCCCTGCCCAGTGGTTCAAACCATTCATTCCTGGTATGACGGTCAGACTGTCCCATCCCAGGAAGACCAGGGTCTTTCTGCTCAAACCTTCTTACTCCTTCCCTGACAGTTTGGCCACAAGCCAAGCTCAGCTTGGCGGGGATACCTAAATACTTTTCAAATAAGAGAAGAACAACACTGAAGAAGAGATGGTTGAAACCCAGTTTATTAGGCCAGAGGCATGCGTCACTCAGAGCCCTGCCTGCTGTTCACCCATCCAGTGCACACGTCTTGGCCTTGCTCCTGCTTCCCTTTGGGGAGGTCTGATCTCTAAGGAATTCCTAGGAACCAAGAATTCCTAAAGATACTATAGCCTCACTCTCCAGCTCCAGGCCAAGGCACAGGTGACCTGCCCCAGGTCCTGCTCTGGGATTGGAAACCTAAAAGACAGCTGGGTAGAGGAGGCCTGGGAAGGGGTCAGGGCTCTGGCCTGGGAGGACTGCCTGATAGAGCAGGCCCTCTACCTCGTTAGTCTTTCATTAAGGTAGGGAGGGACAGAACAGCAGAGTGTTCAGCTCCCACTCTAGGCCTAGCTCTTTCCTCCCACTACCAAACCCTATCTAGCCAGAAAATATAAGTGGTGGGCTTGGGTATTAGGGGAGGAAAGGGGGCTGGGCACCCAGAAGGAGAAAAAGGCCATTGACTGAGGACCTCAGCTTTTGCCCATCAGCACCTTGCTGCCCCAGTTGCAGTAGTCACCAATCCCTAGCTCCCTTCTGTCTCTGACAGTCTTGACTGTGTGTCCAGAGCAGATCTCCATCCCCTGGGTGGGGTGTATCTCTGTAGTAACCCATTCCCTGGGGAGGCCACAGTCAGCCAGGCAAAGGGCAGTGGGATGGGCGGAGCAGGGGAGAGGAATGTTAAGGCTGCAGGAAGGGCAGAGGGTCTTCGGCTTGGGGGAGAGGGTGAGGCCAGAAAGAGGCAAAGCTTGTGATTCACAGCTTCCTTTATGTCGCCACCGAGACAGTGCGAAGGTTACAATGCGCGTGTCATCTCCTTGTGCTTCTCAGAGGGATGTGTGTACACAGTACAGACACCAGGGGAGAGAGTCCAACTCTTTATACAGGCGAAGGCATTCAGAGACCAGGGAGGGGGCAGAAACACAGAATAGGGAACTTCGGATGGGAGGATGGTTCTCAGAGACAAGAGGGGATGGGGCGGAGACAGACAGGGTTAGGGAAAAGTATATACAGAGATATAGCAATATAGAGTCTGTATCATATAGAAATAGAAAATGCAGATGAGGTTGTTGAGAGAAGCAAATGAAGTTGAAGAGGTCTTAGGGGAGTTCCATAAGAAAATTTATGGATGTGGCCCTATGCAAGGGCTTCTGGGAGAGGGACCAGCGAGGTCAGGCACCAGTGGCCCTCTCCCTGAGCTGGAAGCTAACCAGCCAGGTTTTTTATGGGGTGGTAGAGGAGGGCTGCCTCTTGGGATTTCTGTCCAGCAGCTTTGGGGTGGGGATGAACTTGTAGGTATCAGGATGTGGCCTATAGCACCAGGGCCACATCTTGTTCCCATCTCCATTTTTTCAGGGGATCCCCCACCCCCTAGAGATTCCACATAATGTGAAGGAGTGGGACTATGGTTTTAGTTCCTGTCTGGAGACTTGGGTTTGGGGCAGTCACTGGGCTGCGAGGGTCTCTTAAGGCTGGGGAAGCCCCGCCACTAGCCCTCCCCCTTAAGGTACATTCTCTGGTTTGGGGCCAAATTCCAGACCCCAGGGATCCCCTCCACCCCTCACTGGGAGGGGACTTTGGTGACTGGTGGCAGCAGAATGTAGGTGGACACTCAGATGATAGACAGCCAGACAGACAGAAATCAGGCTGGGAGCTAGGGGAGGCAGCATGGAGGACAGAGGGGCAGCCCAAGGTCCTTTGCCCCGTTCTCTCTTTTTAGTTTCTTGCTTAGATTAGTTTAGTTTTGTTAAAAATTAGAAGAATGGGACAGAGGCAGGGAGAGGACTCTATGGTCAAGACTCCTTCCTTACCACAGACAAGAGGAAAGGACTGCCTAGGAGTGGGGGTGAGTCCCCAGGGCAGATGTGAGAGGGCCTCCGGGGCCGCCTTGCTCTCCTAGCCCTCCGCATCTAGGCCTTTGGTACAGCGGCCTGCGGGGCTCAGCAGGTAAAGTCCTCAAACGTGCCTCGAGCCGGATGGTGAGGTAGGATGTTGGCAGCGTACGTCATCCCGGCAGGATGGCCCCGGAGACTCTCGCACGGGTTCTAGGGGAAGGGCACAGGACAGGGACTGGTTATCAGAAGAGCCACTGGTGGCGCCGGGCGTTGGGAGGACAAAGGAGAGAAAGTGGCACGGGGAGCCGGGGGTTCCTGGGGCGGTGAGGGAAAGGGTGGGCCGGAGGGCGCCCCTCGCTGCTCCCTCACGTGTCTTTTGACGTCGTCCAGGCTGAGGGCCACGCCCTTGTCCGCGCTGCTCCTTTTGGCCTCCTTCTGGCACTTCCCTCTCCGGCATAGCTTGTGCTTAATGACCTAGGGCGGGGCGGGGTGGGCTGGGCTGGCTGGAACTCCGCCCCTCCCGTGACCACGCCCCATCGACACCCCGCCCCGAGCATCCCTGCCGCGGCCCGATTACCTCGTAGGCGTAGTCGAAGAGCTCCAGCACTGTGAGGATGCTGGCCCCGATGAACAGCCCCATCTGGCCCCCAATGTCACCTGCGGGGGCGCAGGAAGATCACGGAGTCAGGACGCCATGGGGGCGGCAGAGCTCATGGGGACCAGGGGGGACCGGGGCAGGCAAGTCGTATTTGCAAAGGGATTGGAAGCCTTCATGCAGAAGGATCGCAAAGCCAGATTCTGGCAGGATTTTTATTTTCTTCTCTCTGCTTCTATGCATTTTTATACTTTTCTAAAACGAACAGGTTTTACTTAGAAAGAACAATTGCTTACAAAATATCCAACACTCTTAGTCTCTGGGCCAATGTCAGGGGCATGTGAAATAGTCTCCACCCCCACCCGCTACCCCTCCCTCACGGCCACAGGCTTCTTTTCCGCTTTGCCTTAAAAGAAGGCTCAGCCCCCTTCCCCCCCCCACATACCAAGACAACAGGGTTTGGGGAAAGTCCCCTGGGGATGGGGGACCCTCATGGGACAGACATGAGCACCCTGCTTTGGGTGGTAGGGAGCCATGCCACGCCCAAGGCATGAGAAGGGGACAGGTGCCATCAGCAGCTCACCCAGGAGCCCTGCAATCTCATAGGCCTTCCTCTGTTCAATGGTCTCATAGTTGAGGACTTCAAAGAAAATGTCCAGCACCAAGATGTTCTCCCTGCACGGGGGTTGGGGGAGGAGACCTAGATTCAAGTCATATCTCTGCCTCATACTAGCCAAGTGACCTTAGCAAGTTAGCCTCTCTGAATCTGTTTCCATATCCATAAAATGAGATGCTGATGGAGATACCTGCCTTTTAGAGTTGCTGAGAGGATTAAATGCGATGGCATGTACCAAAAGGCACTCTGCAGACTGGCAAGTGTGAGGTAATCCCAGTTACAGCAATGAGGTGAAGATAGAGGATAAAGTGAGGAGGGAGGAGAAAGGGGTGCTTCCCCCACTTATTCCGGCTTGATCTTCCTTCCATACCCACTCCAGACTCTTTGGTTGCATCTTGGATCTTCCCCATGTTATGACAACTCCCCCTGACTGCTGGCTCCCCACTAAAGCCTGCTCATACCTTCACAGTTCCAGCCTAAATGCCCTGCTCTGCACAGTCAGAGCCCTTACCCTATGTACTGCTCAGACTTGTTGAACTTCTTAGCCAGGTACTTGGCTGAGGCTTTGCTGGGTATCTTGACCATGGACAGCTCCTTGCCATAGCGGGTCAGGTTGCAGGGCATTTCACACACGCAGTACTCCTGGTCCTTCTCCACCAGGAAGTCTGCGCCCAGCCAGGTGAGAGACTCCAGTTGAGTGGTGCTCTTCTGCCAGCACCTTCCCAGCATGCCCGTCCTGGCACAAAGGAACCCTGGGCCCCTTCTCTTTTCCCAACCTGCCCTTCACCTCAGCCCTGTGCCCGCCCTGAGCTGATCCTCATCCAGCCTCCCCATGGGTATTACTTAATCCTGTATCTCATTCCCTTAGCACCCTCGGGGTCAACCAGCTGAGGTGCTGATCAGAGAGGGTGAAGGCCCCTCCCAGGTAACCCCATTCATTTTTAATAGGGGCCTCTGAAGATGGTATTCTCAGCCTTAATGTCAGATACAGTTGAGGGCACAGCCTAGTCCAGGAGTTATTTGAAGCTTCTGGGAGCTTGGTCCAAAACCCCGGGGAAGGGGCTGGCATCATCTCCTTCCCTCCCCCAGGCTGCCCCAGGACAGGGGTGTTTACCCAGAGCAGGATCCGCACACTCCTTGTACTGCTCCGGAGTGCAATAGGGGGCGTCCCCTACAGAGGAGAAAAGACAGTGGTGCAGGATGGAGATTAGAGGGGTCTTGTGATGGTGGTGGTACCAAAGGCCTACAAGGTGGAAGCTGGGAGAGGTGGGGAGGGTAGAACTGCTCTGGACGTGACCCATCCCCACAGTTCACCCCTCCTAGACCCTTCCCACCCATCCCTGTGGGTACAGGGACTGAGGTCAGAGAGACAAGAGCCAGATGAGTATGGGATGGGACAGGCTGGAGCTGAGGTGGGGAGGTTGTATGGATGGGGAGTTGGGGAGGGGCAGTGTAGGCCGAGGGACCTCAGGATCATTCCCAGAGCCCTTGGGCCTGACCTGGCATGTGCACCATGCGGCAGTTGCAGTTCTCTACTAGATAGCGTGTCTCACAGTCGATGCGGCAAGCGGTGATGCTGTAGGAGTCGAAGAAATCCAAATCCGAGTCCATGGTAACAGCTTTGCAGGTGCCCCAGGGCGGGGGCAGGTAGATAAGCTGCTGGGAGAGCCGGGGAGCTGGGGGAGTGTGGGGACTTCTCCCCGAGTCACCTTGACGAAGTTCTCTGACAAGACACAGAGCTCAGGAGCCCTGCCCCTTCTCCCTCTATAGCCTCTGAAGACCTCAGAGTTTACAGAGGATTCTCATTCATTAGGTTATGCATGCCTCTGACTAGCCAGATTACACCCAAGCCCTGGCTCTCCTGTCCCTCTCATTATTGATTGCCCTCCACTCCATCTTGGCATCTTGGTGTTGCCCTCGACACCCCACCTCAGGACCAGCCTCCCATGGCCCTCTCACCCTCTGCTCCTGGCAGGCCACAAAGGTCTGGAAGCCTGGGGCTACACCAAAGCCCAGTTGGTCGATGAAAGGAGGTTCATCCTGACTGTGTATCTGCACCTTGATGCCCGCTTCAAAGGATGTCTCATCTATAGGAATAAGGGGTGTGTGGGCTGGGAGGGCTTCTGACTCCATAATCCCCTTCAGAGCTGGGGGCACCCTACCTTTCCCCTGGGAATAAGCACAGCATACACTGGGACTAGATGGGAGAGTCTATGGGGTCCTAGCCCACCCCCAGCATCCTTCTGGGTTTATAAGCTCCATGCTGCTCCAATGACCCCTGCTTCCTACACACTTCTTTTCTTACCTGGCTTCCATTATGCATCTTGGTGTTTCAAATTCTTTCTCCCGGAGTGTCACTGTGTCAGACACTCTCCATTTCTCCCTCTCCCTTTCTCCCTTCTCCCCCATCTCTCTCTGCCCCAAGGCCCCCCGAGACCAGACAGGCAGGCAGCCTGAGAAGAGAGGGAGTTATTTATAGAGTGAGTGGCGGACGCTGATGGAAAGGATGGCTGGTTACCTTGGAGAGTAACTGAGCCAGGGAGGGGGAGCCAGAGAAATGTGAGTGTGGAAGTCAGGTAGAGTTGGAGATGGAGATGGCAAGATGCTGGGAGGAACGGGAGAGAGCCCCAGCCCTGCCTCAGGTCCCACTGTGGAGCCCAGGAGTCCCCTGGCAGAGGCTGTGGCTGGGAGTCATGGGGAGGGGGCCCCTGAGGGGGGTGACATACCAGTCTCCCCCCATACAGGCAGGTACTCGTCCTGCTGGATGTCCAGCATGATTTCCAGCCCATTGCCCGTCCCACCCTTCATGGTCTTCAGCCGCGGCCGCCCATCTCGGCCCGAGTTGAACGTGTAGCATTTTCCATACCGTGTGAAGACCTGGTGGGGGCAGAGTGGAGCACTTGAGAGTCCTGCCGGCACCTCCTACCCACCAAGCTGTCCCCAGACCTGTCACCTGTTGGAATCTCCACACCCTTCAGGAACAATTCCTCCTGTGCAGCCCATTCTCCATTTGTTCTCCTCTCCCACCTATTCCTTGCCCTTCTCTGCCCGGCTGTGTGCCCTGGGAAGCTGATCTTTGTAGGGTACATTGCCTGAGCTCCTTTGCCACTTGGATGGGCTTCTGGTTGGGTTTGGTTAATGGGAGGCATCAGCAGGGGATCAGAAGGCAGGAGGAGAGAGAGATTGGGGTACTGATCCTTCCCTACCTCTCACCCTTCTGTAATTCTGGCAGTGGCTTAGACCCTCTGTGACTACAAATCCTGCTAGGAGGTCTCCCCCCATAGCACCGTTTCCTTTTGTGCTCCTTCAGCCTAGACGTGCTAACAATTTCCTACAATCGCTAGCTGCCTCAGCCCCCCTTACTGGCTTCTTTAACCCTGCCCACAGCTCTGTAAGCAGTCCCTCTGTTAAAGTATTTTTAATTGAACAATTAAGTGCCCATCTTTTTTCCTGCCAGGACCCTGACATCTGCACCTCCGTGACCAGGATCCTATCACTGCAAGACCCCCTGGTACCTCCTTAGGACCCTCCCCTCAGGCCCAAGCTCCTAAGGTCTAATGAAATATATCTTGTCTTCTCTTGGATTTCACCCCAGGCATCTGAAATCCTGCTGTCCCTAATACCCACCCCCAAACCAAGCTAAGCTTTTTAGTTTGCTGCAGCCATTAGCCCCTTATGTCCATCCTTGTCCCATTATCACTTGAACCTGAGAGTAGACCCAGTTGCCATGCTGAGGACCATGCTCACCCAAGTACCAGCACCTCTTCTCTCAGACCACAGACTTGGACCGAGCACCCAGTGCATGGCATGTTTGACAATGCTTTTACAAAATTATGAGGACCTCAGACAATATCTCAGCCCTGGGGGCAGTCTCCCCAGTCTTCTTCCCACTCCATGCCCCAGCGCAGCCTTTATCACAGCTCTGATTACACAGCTGCAGAGAGAACAGTGAGCCAACTCTCCATGGCCCTTTTCCCACAGCCTCCCTGAATGTTCCCAAGTTCCCACAAGTGGAGTGGGTGTGCTTTTACTACATCAGGATAGTGACAAAGTCCACAAAGTGAGTCATAAGGTGAGTACAGACACAGTCCAGAAAAGGGGAGAGACAGAAATTTCTGGCCAGACTGGAGCAGCAGGGGCAGTGGGGGTTACTAGGAAATAGAGTCTTTGCCACCCTCCCCATTCCTAGAAGAGCCCCCTCTACCCTCCTCCAGAAAAGAAAACACGCTGTTCTCCTCCATGTCCTGTGTGAGGTCCAGAGATGAGGCAACAAGAGAACTCTGAGGACTCCTAATCCCTCAGCCTCACTACCAGTCTTGTAGCATTCAGCCACAGGCTCCAGGCTGGGCACACACCCATGCCTACCCTCCATCTGGGGATGTGAGGGATTCCAGCGGGTGGTTGTGGCCCAGCTTTGCGCTGGTTCAGAGGACCCGGCTGCCGAGCAGTTGATTGCTGCTGCCACCTGGTGGTTCTAGGTGAGAAGTGTCTGCTCTACCCTCAGGCCCTAAGGAGGCCAGATTGACCCTTTTTTGTCCCACATTCCTCTCTCTCCTGGCCTCTCTAAGGCACAGTACCTGTACATCTGCAGGTACCTCCCCAGGTCCTGTACATCTGCAGTTATTCCATGATGCACTAATATGATGACACCACCTGCTCCTACACTAGGGAAGAGGTGGGGGACTGAGGGATGGGTGTGCAGAGAAGGAAGGCCTGGCGTCTGGAACGTGGAGGGGGCAGGAGAGCAGTCAGGCCAGACAAGAATGGATGATGAACTGAGGAGAGGGTGAGATGCCGGGGGTCCCTCAGCAGGAAAGGCTCCAAACACCTGGGTAGGAGGCCAACTGGGAGGACAACTCCCCCAGTGAGGACTTCCCCCAGGAAGAGGGTCTCTGGCCACATAGAGCTGGGGGGGAGGGGGTATGATTTAGAGGAGGCCTGTTATTTACCCCCCCCCCACAGAGTTGGTGGAGTGTGGGGTGCCTGCAGGAGAGAGCGCAGGAAGACCACGTGAGGATGCAAAGAAGTCCCTGCTATGAGAGCTACCGACAAGGGGCACAGTGGGGTGGAGGTGAGAGCTGTCCTCACTCCTCCATCACCTCCTTTCCACCCCTTCTCCTGCACCTCCAGAGACCAGGTGGCACCACCCCAGCTTCAGCCCAGGGGCAACAGACAAGATAGTTAACATCTGACCAGGCATAGGCACCCACCAACAGACCAAAGGTTGACCTCACAGTTGGAACAAGGTCCTGAGGCCCTGCTGGACTATAAGGAGGTCTGGGGAGGGGCAGGCAAGGCTGGAGGATATTCAGGGAGATAAAGGGGTCTCAGGGAGGCAGCTGATTACCAACTAGGACAGACATATTTCAAGATTCTAACAGGAAGAGCAGTACTGGTATGGATCTGGGAATACCAGCCCAGCTCCAGACCCTGGGCTCCCAGGTGAACTCTGGCCCAGGTAGGCCCAGTGAGGTGGGGGGGGCAGCATGGTCACCGGGTCAGCCCCAGTAGATGACAGTCAGGGACAGCCATGGCAGACACTTTAGGGCACTGTGCCAGGCACAGGCCCCCACTCACCACTGAGAAGTTGTGAGGGCCACAGGGCCCCCCGCAGTAGGAGCAATAGAGCAGCATGTCCTCCAGCCGGTGGCAGGAACGATTGTAGAAGCGGTGCAGGTTAAAGGGCTCCCCAGAGAAGGCCTCAGGCCCCGGTGGAGCAAGGGGCACCCCAGGGTCATCACTTTCATCCAGTCCCAGCATGGGGGCCAGATAAAGCAAGTCAGGGTAGCTGAGCTGGGAAAGCCGCACAGCATTGGTGTTACAGAGGGTGACTGCTGGGAAGGCCAGCTCTGTGGTGGCCACTTCATCTAGCCGAGTCACGTGCGGGTAGCTGAGGTAATAAGCAACGCGGTCCCCTACCTGGCACAAGAAGGCACCCAGTGCCAGGACAAAGGCCACTACCCACAGGGCCTGTCTTGGCCCCAGACCCCCTTCCACAAAGATGTGGCTGGCGCCATGGAGGGTGCAGCTCTTCGCAAAGGCCACCAAGTCCACGGGCGGATCCCCCTCGTTGACCTCCTCCCTTTCTGCCTCCTTTTCCTTTGCCTCTTTCTCCGCTTCTGATTCTGAGTTGTGCTGCTGCTGCTGCTGCTGCTGTGGACCCCAAACATCTCCCAAGGTCCCTGGGGCGTCCTCTCCAGAGGAGAATGACACAGAGCAGAATATCTGTATGGGCATCTTCTCCAGGGGCTTCCTGGTACCAGGGGATTGGCAGGAGGAAGGGGGAAGGTGCCAGAGGGAAGGAGATGTGACCCCAGGTGGGGTCCAGCAGGCCAGCCACCCAGCCCTTCAGCCAGGTCTCTGCGGGGCCGGCGGGCCGTCCTTCCTCACCGGGGCCTCCGTGGCAGTGTGGCTGGGGTGGGGCGGGGCGTGGGGAGGAGAACCGGCCTGCTCTGCCAGGGAGGGCAGGCGTGTGGGCTAATGAATAATGGATGGTGGTGGGAAAGGGAGGCTGATGGAGAGGAGGGGTCCTAGCACTTTCCTGTCACCAGCTCCAGTAGGACAGACAGGATTTAATACAGAGTGGAAACTCTGGAAAAGCCCAGAGCTAGGACTCCTGGTACCCACCTCCCCAGGTAACGTGGGACCCAGCACAGTCCTTTGCTCCCGATGCCACAATGACCTCAACCAGCCACAGTCCCTGCCCACTCCCCCTCAGCCCCTGCCAGGACACACACCCATGCTCTCTCCTCCTCCAGTCTGTTCCCAGAACGCCCCTCAGTTCCCCCCTCCCAATTTTGGGTCCTCTCCCTAATTCCCATGTGGTCCAGTTATTCCTCTGGGATACCAAGCCCCCACACTCTGCAGGCACTCTTTCAGAACTCTAATTCCTCTCTTGACCCATAATTCTCCACCAGTTATTTCATTGACTCCCGATTCTCCCAATCCACCCTTACAGCCTTCTCTAATAATTCCTTTGATCTCAGCTTCCTTCCAATCACTGTCCTGCCCCCCTAACTTTCAGTTATTCCCTGAAACCCAATTCCCCTGAAATCACTCCCTGGACCCCCAAGTTCCCTCCAGCCAGCCCCTGACCCCATTTCCCCCCTCACTCCCCTGACGCCTAGCTCTACTTCAGGTCTGTCCCCTCCCCTCCGCCCTGCTGAGCTGCATTAGGTTGCTTTCTCCTCCCCCACCCCCCTCTGTGGCTTATGGGGCGGCCCAGGTTCCATTAGCAGAGGTCTCTCACTGACCACAGACTCATTTCTGGCCAGTTCCCGGCACTGGGGGAGGGACCCTGTCTCTTGCAGCTGAAACGCTTCCTGGCAGATCGCCACTACTCTTCCCAGCGTGCCCACCCCCAACAATTCAGAAGTGGAGTTCGAGGGATTCTCTTCTGGTACGTGAAAGAAATTGAGATCAATGGAAAGACAGAGGATCCTGGGTCAGGTGGAGAGTATTGGGAGCTGACCTGGGGTTCCCCCCAAAACCCTTACCCTTGTAGACCCCCAGCCCCTCATCTCTAAGGCTCCCCCTACCCTGAATTTACCATTCCCTTCCCCCAGGCCCCTGGCCCCTATGTGGGCTCTGATTACTCAGGGCCACTGACTGAGGAACTTGAGCCACCAGCCAAGTCTCCAGGGCCAAGAAGGTGACCTAAGGAGAGGAGAGGAAGGGAGGGAGGGAGGTAAGTCAGATTAACCCTTCCTCTGCAGGGCCAGAGGAAGAGCAGTGAGGGTATTCCTTAATCATCCCCTAGCCCCAGGCCCCATTCTCCCTCCTCCTTTTCTACCCTCCTCCCTGCTCCCACACTTCTTCCCTTTCAAATTTCCATGCAAAGACCCTGGAGTGTGTTGGGGATGGTAGGCAGGGTGCCACGTGCTAGCAGAACAGACTGATGTGGAGCCTTTGGCCCCAGTTTTGCTGCCAGGGACACAGAGGCCCCAAAAGAAGAGAAGTCTTGAGATCTGGCCCCTCTCCATCCTTAGCACTGCCCTTAGACTGGCCTCATCCTTTTCTGCCTAAACAACAGCCTCCCACAAGTCTCCCTAACTCCTGCCTCCTGCAGATTCTCCCTACCTTCAGTCCATGCTATGTGATTCTGACCATTCTCCTGCTTAAAGACCTCTCTCACTCCCCAGTACCTTTGAAGGTGAAAGCAATTTACCTTCCAGCCTCACTTCCTACCACTGCCCCTCCATCCCAGTCCAGCTTCCAGTCACCCCAGACACACTGGGCTGATCCACAGTTCTGTGCCTTCCCTGGACTCCATCTAGAGAATTCCTACTGATTTTCCAGGACCCTACTCACATGTTACTTTCTCCAAGAAGCCTTCCCTGACCCCACAGAGCACAGCTAGTCCCACCTGGGGAATAGACTGAAAGGTCCAGTTCTGCTCAAGGCCCTCTGGGTGTGAGTAATGACCAGCAGCTCCTTGAGGGCAGGTATTATGAGGGCAAAAGAGTAGGACCCCGAGACCGTGGGGAGAAACAGAAAGTGAGAAAGACCAGGAACACCCAGGGCAACCAGAGAGAGGTCACTGCAGAGATGAGGAGAGGGAGAACCCCGCCCCCACCCCCACCCTGCCCCTTCAGCTGTTGTTCTGAGGCTTCTCCTACTTGAATTCATGGGTTGCTTTTCTGTTTCCTGTTCTGTGTGCATTTTCTTCCTGCCTCAAGCTCTCAGAGGACAGGGTCCTCATCCCTTGCACCTGCTCAGGAAGTATTTCAGAGATGAGTTCCAGACTTGGGTTTTGGGGGGCCTGACTAGGCTGAGGCTTGGGCTGGGGAAGCTGCAGCTGCCCATGCTTCCCATACCCACTAGAGGGCATTGTCTCCCTCCTTCAGACATCCTGGAAGGGAAAGTAGATTGGACTTCCAGAGGGAAGGAACTGAGGCAGGGAAACTTCCAGCTTGGGGGTCCCACCAGAAAGAAGGGTGTGCACAAAAAAGCAGCTTCAAAGGACAGAGAGTTTTGTATGCCTGGATATCTGCGCCCCCCAGCACCAAGACCCACATTGCACAGCTACACATCACTACCACAGACACACAGCCCTGTGTAGGGCAACACACACACCCCTGCACTCTCTCCCTCCTTCTCCCCTGGATCCTCGCTCCTCTAACATTTTCTCTCACCTTCATCTCATTCAACTAGACAAATCCAAACTCTTCACAATAATGGGAAGGTGAGGGCCGGCCCGTGGCTCACTCGGGAGAGTGCGGTGCTGATAACACCAAGGCCCCGGGTTCGGATCCCATATAGGGATGGCCGGTTCGCTCACTGGCTGAGCGTGGTGCTGACAACACCAAGTCAAGGGTTAAGATCCCCTTACCGGTCATCTTTTAAAAAAAAAAATAAAATAAATAAATAAATAAATAATGGGAAGGTGAGGAAAGTGCCAAGGGGCATACACAGACCCCCCAAGCATACACATGCTTGGCCCAGGAGAGGGGCCCAAGTAGACACATACACAGAGCTATGCTCAATCTGAACCCTCTGTCCAAGGATGTGACCCTTCCCCACATCACTCCCCACCAAGTAGTTCCCTTCAGCTGTGTGTGGCGACCGAGTGTTTCTAATTTCCTTTATATCTCTTTCTGAATTCCAACTGTCCCTCATATCTGTGTGATATTTCATGGTTTTCAGTTGATGGCTCATGTGACCCTACCACAACCCAGCAAAATATGCAGGGCTTACTTCACCCTCATTGGACAAGTGAGGAAATTGAGCCACAGCAACCTGTTCAAGATTCATGGAGAGCAAGCAGTGGGCCTGAGACTGGCATTACGTCATCCATCTCCAATTCTTTCCCTTTTCAGTCTTTCATCGGACAAGTGAGGAAATTGAGCCACAGCAACCTGTTCAAGATTCATGGAGAGCAAGTAGTGGGCCTGAGACTGGCATTACGTCATCCATCTCCAATTCTTTCCCTTTTCAGTCTTTCATTTACTCACTTACACAATGGAGAACAGGTAATGGACCCAATCCTGCCTTCATAGAGCTTACTGTCTAATGGGGGAGACAGACATCATCTTAAAAAATCATACACATAGATATTTAATTGCAAACTATGATAAGTACTAAGAAAAATATATTATGGTTCTGTGGGGGCAAATGACAGGGGGCCCTTACCCAGACTGGGGAATCAAGGAAGGTTTCTCTGAGGAAATGATGTTTGAATTTCAACCTAAAGAATATGTAAAAATGAGTAATTAAGTAAAGGTGTGTGTGTGGGTGGTGGGACTCTCTTCAGAGAGAGAGCAGTGTGTCCTGAAGGGAGAGAGCTGATGGGAAGCATGTGTGACTGGAAAGGTGGGTAAAGACAGGCAGGACCTAGATCACTGAGGGCCTTCAAGGCCATGGTAAGGAGTCTGGTCCAAGGACAATGGAAGACTCCCCATGGAAGGATTTCAAATGATCAGAGGTGTGTTTTGAAAAGAACATTCTGGCTGCAGAGTGGAAGAACCAGAGGGACTGCTGGAAGACTGGATAGGGAGCCATGTGGTGGTCCAGGTGAGATATGGGGTGGTGGGACGGCTTGGAACAGGATGATAGAATGGATATGTTTAGGAGGCAAAATTAGCAGATCCTGTCAAGGCAGATAAGGGAGATGGAGTGTCGGGGATGATTTCTGGTTTGCATAACTGAATGGTAGGGTGGCTCACTAGACAAGTCACACGGGTAAAGGACTAGTTTTGGAAGATGATAAGTTAGGTTTTGCACACGCTGGTTTTGAGGAGCATCAGGGATATGCAAGTAGAGATGTTAAATGGGAAATTGGCCATTGGGCTGATGCTAAGAGGAGAGAGCTGAGCTGAGACATCAATTTGGCAGTTGTCAGTGTGTAGATGGTAATTGAAGTCATAAGTGAAGATGAGACTGCCCAAGAATAGAACATAAAATTAAAATTAAAAAAAAAAGACAGAAAGGAAAAAGGCCTGATTGGGCAGTATCCATTAAAGCCAAACAGAATCCTATCCCATACCTTAACCATAGCCCCTAGTTATATACCCAAGAGATGAGTGTACATGTCAACCAAAAAACATGAACAGGAATGTTCATAGTAGCTTTATTTATAATAGCCAAAAGCTAGTAACAACACAAATGTTTAACAACAGTAGATTGGATAAATAATTTGTGGTGTATTTATATAATGAGATACTATGCAGCACTGAAAAAGAGCCAACTACTGCTACACACAGCAACATGGCTAAATGTCACAGACATAATCATAAACA